AAGGAGCTTCAGAATTTTCTCACGTCCTCTTTTTGAGAGAGGAGCAGAGGTGTCCACTGACTCATCCCAGGTCCCAGAAGTAAGTATGGAGTGAGTCAGAACCATACGCAGACTGCCTGCTGCCTGCTCATACCGAGAAGGGGGGAGGAGATCAAGGCAAAGGTTCGTGGCCAACTACTCCCCAACGACAGGGCAGGGGGCTGTGCCCGCTCAGTGCTAAAGCAAAGGCCCTAACGCTTCCTCTGAGCGAGGTTCTCTTGTGCTCTGTGCATCCAAATCTTCTGGTAACCTTTAAAAGACAAGAGCCCAAGTGCCACCTGATTCTGTTGGTGGGGCTGGGGTCAGGACATGGTGTGTTGCGGAAGCTCCTCTAGGCAGCTTGAGACCCACTGCTCTGAGTAGGGCCATCTGCAGTGCTCTCTCAGGGGCCTGGTCACAAAATGAGACGTTGTGCTGTTCTCAGGTGGTGTTGCGACATTCCTCAAGGTAGAGGGTGTGACCACCCGCCTGATGTACACTGCAGCTTGGTTTTTCCAAAATTATGGACGCCTTTAAACCGAAGGTCCTCGACCCACGCTGTGTGCTGGGACACTTCTAAAGCTTTCAGTTCCCAGGCTGCACCGAAGACCAAGTCAGCCAGGACCCCTGGGGCTGAGACACCAGAGTCAGGATCTGTAAACCTCGCAGCTGATTCCACAGAGCTGAGTAACTAGCCCTGGCACCCTCCGACGGATCAGCCATAACCCGGGGGGCATTGTAGTTTGCCATCCCCAGAGCAGTGGAAATGGGGAAGAGGCTGCTCGGCTTGGAGACGGCATTGCTTTCAGCTGTGCTGGACCAGCGCCGTGAGCTGACCCCAAGTCCTGACTGTCATTAGCTGGTGCTCAATGAGCACCTTCTGTGAGGCAGACTCTGGGCTGGATCCTAACTGGGTCATGACTGAGTCCCTGCCCTAGAAGAGTTTGTCACCCTGCAAGAGAAGTAAGATACATGTATTAAAATAACTATGCTTAGGTAAGGCAGAAATCGCTAAGTGCCACAAAAGCAATAAAAGGTATTGTGTCATATAATTCTTAATAAAGAAAAAAGCCCCCAACTTCATAGACTTCTGATTTGCAGTAAAGGATCACAGTCCCCCCAAATCCAGGAAAGTGGGGTGCTGCCGTCCTTCACTTAGACATGTCTCTGAGCAGCTCCAACCCCTGGAAGACTTGGATTTGTTGTCACCTTACACAGGGCCTGCAGGCTCACAAGGCCTGCAGGAAGGCATTGTGGAGGTCATCATGCTGTCCTCCCTGGAGCAGAGAGAAGCTTCTCAGGACACGGAGAAGTGAAGCTTCCAGCCAAGTCACAGAAAGCAGGGGGAAGCCAGGGCTGGAAGCCAGGCTTTGATGTCCAGCCCTATGACCTGTGTGTCGTCCAACTTGAAGAGTGGAGGCACTCCCAACTAGCAAAGGCAGGTCTTTATGTCTGACCCCATTAGTCAAGGACAGCTCCTCCAAGACACAGTGCGTGGCCTGCCCTGCCCTGGATCCCACCATTAACACCTTGTGTTTTGGTATCCGGGCATCCTCTGTTTGCCCCCAAACAGGAGGAACCTGTTACCTTCCTGTGTTCCCATCTATGCAGCCAGAGCTCTCAGGCCCTCTGAGAATTGAGTAGCAAGCAGACCATTGTCCTCCTTTCTGCCAGATTTTCTGCTAACATCAGGAGTTCAGGCTGAGGCAATTGTCCTTGTTAGAACTAAAATACACATTCTCATGCCAAGGTGTGACACTGTGGCTCCACTGAAATGCTATCAGAAGTGGGGACCTTGTAAAGGATCGCAGACTTCTGATATTATCAGTGAGGAAATCAGGACCCTCTGTGCTTCTGCCTATCTGACCAGGGCTTCTTCCCCCAGGGGGACAGTCCTGTCGCAGAGAGGGGCTAGTAGCTGGACAGAAACTTGATAAGCCTCATAATAGTGACTCACATAAACTGACTCGCTGCTGGGCATTTGTCTAAGCATGTAGCACATGCCAGTCTTGCCCCAGTGTGGTCCTCAGTTTTACAGAGAGGTGCATCAAGTCACAGAGAGGGTAAGAAACTAGCCCAAGATCATACAGGCCCTGCAGGGCTTGAACCTGCACTGGCTCCTCCCAGTCTGTGTGCTCAAGAAGCTAAGCTGCCTGGATGTCCCCTTTAAGGGTTGGCTGAGGAAGGTATATAGAGGAAGGAGCCCCCTCCATTCCCAGGAGCACTCTGATGGTCCCCCCACCTCCTGCTCCAGGAAATGAGGTGCTATGGTGGCCCCTGGCTGTGGACACTCCCATTCACGGAGCTCCACTGCAGCTTTGTTCAGGCCTCACAAGAAGCCTTGAGCCCCGCCAAGACCCCCTCTGAGTCCCCTCAGGCTTTCTCTCACCACCCACTGCCACCAAGCCCTCTCCCTGCTAACCCAGACCATGCCAGCTTCCCAAGAAGGTGTCTTCTCTGTGCCCAGGGGGAAAGGCTGGAAGCAGGGCTTCTCTTCCTGGACAGGTGGCCCTGTAGAGTTCCATTCCCACGGGTCCTCCTGGAGGCAAGCTGTGTCTCTGTCATCACTGTTCAAGGCTCATGTCCCTGATGGCTTTGTTGCTGCCTGTGGCACCACACACATACACACAGACCCTGCATACAACACTCATACACCAAGCACACCACCCACTTACACAAAACACACACCCAGCACCCAGCCCCAACACACACACGTGTGCACAACTCCTCCAGCACAAACAGTGGTTGCTTCCAGACCTCACTGGTGCCTGTGCTGTGCCCATCCTCCACACAGCCACCTGCAGGTCACATGGAGAACAGTGAGTGAGGAGTGACCAGTGAGGCTTGATGGCCTAGCAAGACAGGAAGGCAGGTCTGGGGGGCGAGTTGGTAGAGGATGCTAGCACAGGTAGCAGACTTGAGAAGCCTCCTCTCCTGCGGACTCCCAGTGGGCTGCTGTGCAGGAGGCCTGGTGTCTGGAGCAGGGCCCAGGGCAACAGCATAGAGCGGCAGGCAGACAGCTGTGGCCCCTGCTGCTGCACAGGCTGAGGAGGTGGCTCCTCCTGCAGCCACTTCTGGTCACACCCATCCCTAGGCACCCAGCAGGTGCCAGCCAGGGGAAAATTCCAGCCCTTAGCAGCATCTGCTACTGGCCTTTATCTGAGACTAATGGCTTTCCTTTCTTGGATAAGGTTTTTATTCTTCAACTTTCTCTCAGACTTTCTGTCCAGAATGGACTCAACTCTGGAAAACAGACCTTTTGTTAGCAAGTCTTCTTATTGAGCACACTCCCCTCCCTCAGCCACCACCTTTTCATGCTTCCAAGGAAACCTTCTGTGTCAAGTCCATGGTAAGAGAGCACAAAAGAACACCCTGATCAGCCTCCTCTCCTCCACCCGCCTCCTCCTCCCCCAGCGTCCCCTGCGCCCCACTGTGTGCCTACAGCAGGAGCCTGGGTAGACGGAGGTTGGGGTAGGGAGAAATAACTTGACTTCTTCCTTGTTTTCCTTCAGCGGTCTCTACCAGCATCAGAAATCTAGATCCTGCCTGGAAGACCTGGGGCGCGCTAGGATGGGACCCCTCTAGGTTCATGGCGGCCCTTGGGCAGGGAGTGGCCTTCAGGCCTAGGAACACAGTCTTCATGAGAGCTGGGAGACCCATTCCCAGCCTGGGACAACTGTATACATTTATTTCATCTGGATCTTTCTTTTTCCCCCTTCAACAGCCCTATTACCATATTTAAATGCAAGTATGTCTCTTTTCATTGGCATTTTCAGTAGCTTAGCCAGACCTTCTTAGAGTAGATTGTTCCTTTTGAACTCCTTTCCCCTCAGTAGTACTGTGTAGCTAGGACAGTAGTCTTAGAGTTTAGTGGGCTTCTAGTTCGCTCTGTGTGGAGGCTGTGTCTCTTTCCTTTCTTTCCTCCTCTGCCCCCTGCCCTTCACGATGCATGTCTTTCTCCTCTTGCCCCATGACAGCCCTGATGAGGGGCTAAACTGCAGCAGCTCTGGTAGGGGCTGTTCGCTGAGTTCGCAGCTGGCTTCAGGCACATCATTAAACAACACAGCCACGGGAAGCAGGCCTCCGAGTGCTTGACAGCAGAGGACGTTTGTTATTTTATGTGTGTGCAGGGAATCTATGTAGGTCTATGCATGTTTGCCCAGGGGAGAAGCCCAGAGGAGGGGTGTTGGCCCACCTCTTCCTCCACCGGGACGTTCTGCAGCCACGCACCTTGGCCCTCCAACTTGGTCCCCACCTGACACAGCCTGGCTGCTTTTAGCTAGCACAAGCCAGGGCTCCAGAGACCCCATTAGGAGAGCCTCTTGTGTTGGCTTCATCAGACTGTGGCACTCAGGCAGAGAAGCCATATCTGAGTCTAATTGCCCCAGGAGATGGAAACACTAAAAAAGATCAAATAGAGCCATAGTAGAGCCCCCCAGCCCTCCCACAGCTGTCTCCATGTCTACGTAGTCCTCTAGGATCCCCCAGATGCTTCTCCCTCCAGCCTGGGGCTGTGATGCTGCTGACAGAACATCTTGACAAGTAGAACATTAGGACCACCGAGTGAAACAGTCTCCTAGCCTGGGTGCCCATTCTGCCAGAGGCCGTCCCAAGGGCCTTCTGTCTCTGGTGGAGCTGCTCCTGGGACTCTGGTGGGGAGCAGCAGGCCTGCCCAGCCAGTCATGGCCTGCTCTGGAAGTGCCCTGGGGGCCCAGCAGCACTGCATCTCCTCCCTCTGCAGTTGTTGAATGCCTTCTACTGCCAGCTCCCAGGGCAAACCCATGCGTGAGAATTACACACGCCTCAAGATTCTCTGTCTTCTAGAAGCCCGAGAGCCGATGACCTGTACCTCCCTGCCCCCAACTGCCCCGAACTCCCTCTCCAGGCCTGTCTTCTGTGGGAGGGAGGAACGGCGCTGGGAGAGGCCTGCCCAGGGCTCTGCCAGCCCCTCCTGACTACAGCCCCTCCCGCCCTCTCTCTAGGCTTCCCAGCAGCAGCTTATGGACCAGTGGCGGCGGCAGCAGTGGCGGCGGCACGAGGATCAGGTAGGAAGGTGTGCGGGACAGGCGGGTCCCAGGCATGCCCCAGTGTGCAGGGGAAGGTAAAGGCCCTGTCGGATCTGTGTGGCTGTGTCTGTCCAACACTCCTCTCACCACGGCCCGGGGGAGGTGGTAGGGCCAGGGAGGTATGGGTGAAGCCCAGTCACCCAGGACAGCTCCCCCAGGGGTCAGTCCCAGTTTGGCTGCAAATGCAATGTAGACTGTGCTACTCCCAAGACAAAGGGAAACCGGAGTTCCCTTTTGACTTTGGACCCTCCCTTCTCCTGAGGCCTGGCTTCTAGGCACCTGTGGTCACTCTCCTCCTTGGCTTTTGTGAGTTCAACAAGCTCCTTTCCGTTGAGGGACTCAACTGGCCTCCAGGCCCCTGCAACACCTGGCAGGTGGGCCTGCTGAACTCCCAGAACCCCAGAAGGCCTGGTGCAGAACAAGCCCTTGAGCCCAGGGAAGGAGGGAAGCTGAGGTTTCCTGGAGTTCCTACTGCCTATCTCAGCCATTCTTAGCCAGGTGGGCTCCAGCTACCAAGGGTACAGCGCCTTGTCTTGAGGTTCCCCCAGACCTTCCCTCTCCAGATCCAGCCTTTCAAGAGGTCTGGAGCTGCCCAAGTGACCCAGGCCCCCTTCCCCATTAGTGTTGGGATGCACCCCTCAAATATCTTTGGCCTTCCTGGGCACTAGACCTCAGCCCCACACTGGGCTCCCCGGTGACCCCTGTTCCCTGTGCCTTTCACTCCCTGCTCCTGCCAAAATTGAGTAGCCAAGGTTTACAGCTCTCTCCACAACCCCGCACCCAGGGGCAGCGTGCTGGAGCACTCAGGAAGTGCTTTCACTCCCTGTAACAGGGCTCTGGGGAGGAGGGAGGGTGGGACGGGGCAGGAGTGCTGGTGAGGGTATCAGGAAAGGCCACATTAAAAGCCCAGAGGACAAAGACCAAAGACCCATGCCCTCAGCACTGTGAGGCCCATTAGAAAATGTCAGTAAAACTCCGTTCCATGCAAACTGGCACTGCCTCGGAGCTACAAAGGATCCACTTCCCAGAACCATCGCTGGGGTTTTGTTTGGAGGAGCCTGCAGATTCTCGGGGCTACTGAGGGGCAGTTTGCCTGATAGCTGATGAGTGGCAAATGGCAGGCAGGCCCAGGGGGCTGGGCATCATCTGCCCTAGCCGGTTGCCTAAGGCCCCACCTGCCCTCTGGCCAGTGTCCCTTGGTCCCCTACCCTGGGCCCTGGGGGCAGGGTGCACAGCTGAATCATGTGACCCTGTTTTGCTTGGGTTTTTTTGTTGTTTTTTTTTTTTTTTTTTTTTTGGGGGTTTTTTTTTTTTTAAAAAAAAAAAAAAAAAAAGCCTCAATCTTACCTGTGCCTGGGATGGGGATAGATAAAAAAAACAATCTGGAGATTTTCAAGTGTTGTTGGTTGTTGTTTTCTCCGTTCAGTTTTTCTTTTTATAACTTGAATTATGAAACTAAACTTTAACCTGAAATTAACCCTGCCTCTCTCCCCACCCCACCCCATTCTCCCTGACTTCATGGCAAGTTTAAAGGGCAGCATGGGGTTCTTTGCGAGTCTGAGAGCGGTCTCCCCACAATCTGTGCCCCCTCCTGCCACCCCGACCCTCTCACAGACCCCCCAGAGCCAGGCGGGAACCCCACCCACCCTCTAACTCCTAACCCTCAAGGTCATCTCCAACCACACATTGTTTTTCCAGGGTCAGTGGTGTTTTATTTGTAGCCATTTCCATTGGGAGCGACATCTCCCACAGGCCATTTGAGATCCTCATGCTCATCTCCGCACTGTTAGTGAATCGTATTCAGGAGTGTTCTCCCAGCCCTTCACCCCGCCCCCCTCCAGCCTGCATAGTGCAAAGAGTAAATCCTCAACTTGAGGTGCCCACCCTCCAGGTGAGGCTCACCCCAGCGAGCTGCGGGGAAGCCCCCCGCCCAGCACTGCCCAAGGGTCCTGGGCTTGGGCTGTGCCCCTGAACCATGCCTGCCATAGTTAGAAGATGGCCTGGCCTGCTTATGTGTAGGCAGGGTTACAGAGATGGGACCAGATGGTCTTGGCCTCTCCTTCAGTACACTTTGATTGGTAGGAGGTTCGTCCCTTTCTTCCCTCTAGACAATGACTGGGACTCCAAGGCTGGCAGTTTGGTCTATTATTTATCTTTGAGTGGCCCATTATTGGCAGAGGCTTTTTGCAGTGATCCCAGCAGGGCTGCCCAGACTCTGGGCTGTATCAGTCCAGGCCCTCAAAGGGCTCATGGGGGCTGATGACCCAGGTCTACCTATACGAGTTCCTGCAACCTTGCCCCGCACAGCCCAGCTCCTCCCTGGGGGACAGGGATGCTCATTCAGCCTCCTGAGCAAGTGGCCTGGCTAGGAGAGGTAGTCACAACTCAGTTCCTCTTCAGGGAGAATCCATCAAATACTGGCCTGGAGCCTGGCACCTAGCAGGTGACTCCAGCTGGTAGGAGATGTGGCCTCTGCTCCCCAGGGGCTCTCGGGCTTGGTTTAGGAGTCAGGCATCCTTTGGGAAGCCCTTTTTTGTCCTTTATTTTTGTCTAGCGCCATTTTGGTTTTGCCCACCCTCCTTCCATTATGATTTGCTGGGAGCACTTCCAGAGTAGGAAGTACCATGGAGCGCTGCGGGGGTGGGAGGCAGCTTCACTTGGGCTCAGGATGGAAGCTCGCATCTGTCAGGGCTTTGGCTTCAGGGGAGGAGGTCTGAGGGGGATTGAGCTCTGCCCCCAGCTCAGCCCCCTCCTCTGGGCCAGCCTATCCACCTTTTCCCAATCTCCCCAGGAACTGAGGCAAGCAGGGCTCAAGGGTCTCCCAGGTGAGGTCCCTGCCGACTCCTAGATAACTTCACTATCAGTGGTCACTTTTCTTTTATCTTCACCTGGTAGTTTGAAATGTCATCTTTTCTTGTGCTCAGTCAAGAGTTTGTTTGTTTATTTTGATCGTGTTCATTCAGTTCCAGCGGCCCCCTCATGTCCTCCCCAAACCTAAGTCCAGTTTGGCAAATGACTCCCTCCAATGAGAGGGCAGTGGTTCAGATTTTTTGGGGCTACCTTATTTCCGGGTGACATTATGGGTGGGTCCTCAGATCACTCTTAGAATTGCTGAGCCCCCTGGCGTGCCCCCACCCTTTTCCAGCCCATCTCCAGCCCCAGCCAGGACCCCTTACTGTACTTTATACTTGCCAGCTTTATTCCAGTCTAGTTACATGAGCTCCTGATGGTGGTGGTGAGTGTGAGCAGTCATGTTTCTGTTGTCTTTTCTCTTGCTTGGTTGGGGCTGCGGTGAGAGAGTGTCTCTGAGGCATACTTTCCCGCCTCTCTTACACTAGGATCTGCACACCTCCTCTCAAACACTCTTCTGAGCACGCTCAGCGGGAAGGTTTGTCCACACCTATTAATCCTCTCTCGGTGTCCAGCTTCCTGTTAGTACCAGCTGGTTTGCATGTTTTTGCTTGTTCAGATGAAACAGTTCAAGAAACAAACTCATATCCAACTCTCAAGAAATGTCTTTTTTTGTACACTTTCGTTTTCGATTTTTTTTTTATTAGTTACAACTCCAAAACACCTGTTGTCCAGTAAAACATTTCACACCTCCCTGCCTGTTCTTAGATTGTATGTATCTGTGGGACTGAACTAAATGCATGCCCTGTAGTAGATGTACTGGTAGCTGTAGCTGTAGTTGTAGAACATGCATTGTTGAGTTGATATTGCAGGGTCTCCAAGGGCTCGGCACAGCACAGCCATTCGAAGGATAGCATGGGGACCAGGCAGAGAAGGGGCTCCATATTTTCAATGTTGCCAAGGGACTTGGATCCATGTTCTCGCCATCAGCCACCACCACCTCCCCTCACACTCCTCACTCCCCCAGTCCAGAACTGGGTCACCACCCTCAGCTCTAGCCTTCCCGACTGAGATCTCTGTTGAGAGTATCCAACTTTAGTGAAAGCATGGAACCAGGGCTGGAAGGAATGTTACAGTTCTTCCCTGTTCTTATCTTCTCATGCTGTTCCTGAACAGAGCAGCAGATCTTTTCTTACTTCTTGAGGCCTACCAGCCAGGCTCCTCAAAGTCCCTGTCCTCCTCCAGTGCTTTGGCAGCTCACACGCAGCCCTTTGGGGACATAGGTCTGTGGAGAAGCCATTTTGTATGGCCTGCTCTTTGGGGTAGAGGGAAGTGGGCATGGAAAGGAGAGGGTGGCTTCAGACCCTACAGACCTTGACCCTGGAGGATGTTGGCCTTGGTCCTTATGGTGGATGGAGGTAAATGTATCCAGGGGGTAAGTGATGACATCCTGGGGTGGAAATGCCTGGCCCAGCTTCCTAGGGAGAGAAGCAGAGGTAGGCTTGGAATAGCCCAAGCTGCGAACACCAGTTGCCCTCTGTCTCCCTAGGTAGGCTGCCCAGAGGGATTGGCACCATCCTTCAGCCTGCCTTCTACTCAGGCACACATGCACACTCAGCCGTCTTTGGGCACGCTGGCTTCTCTGCACTTGCACCATAAGGGAGTACAGGGGCATCGGAGCACTTTGGAGATGTCCCTAATCCTTGCAAGTTGGTGTCAAGGGAGGTGGTACTTGCTGTCTGGAACCTGCTTTTTAAGTCATGGTTATCAGTGACTGTGACTGAGCACTGTGGGAGGAATGGCAGGATCTGAATCATTAGAGTACACGTTACCTATTCAGCAGGAGAAAGAACTCAGGGAAAAGTCACAGACTCCATCAAGCCCCCCAAGGAACATGTTAATACAGAACTTGGTGGGCTATATTGACTATCTTATACTATATAACAATATAGTGAAATGTTAGTTTCTCAGAGAAAGCTACAGTGTTCTGGCAGAGACAGAACACACAGTGACTAAACGTGTGCCAGCCCAGACTGCCACCAGACAGAATGAGGGCACCGAGGCCCAGCAGAGAAATCTGGGAGGTGCCATCCTTCTGCTTTGGACCTGAAGAGAGTGGGGTTGGGGAG